GCTATTTTCCACACTGAGGAGAAAAGATACCCACAACTGTCTCTTTTCTTTACAGAACAAATTTCAGATAGAGTGAGGAATGAGTTTTGCATAAACACAAAGCTGAAAAGGATATACAACTTTTGACCTGTGTACTTTCCAACTGTCCCGATTTGGCAGGGGCAGTTCTATTTGATCCTCTGCCATCCCACTTTTTCAGCTGCTTTTAAAATGTCCCAGTTCCTCTCTCCTCCTCCCATTTTCCTTATTTGTCCCCAGCTTATTTCAAATGCTGCAAAGTAGTTTGCACTCAACTCAGTGGAGGGAGAAGAGAGAGCAGAATCTTGCCCTCCCCTACACACTCAGGCAAAAGCAAATGGCTGCAGCTTCTCCTAGCTTGTGTGTCCTTCCTCATTAATTGCTATTATGACCACACTCTGATGTTGCTTGGCCATACTTGTCCTATTTTGCATCTCTAATGTTAGAGACTATGGGGGGTTGCAGACTGCCAGAAATAGTGCAAATTGAGTCCACTTTAAGGGTTAGGGTTAGTGCTAGGGAATCATGGGAATTGGGTTTTTTTCTGAGACATTGAGCCTTCTCTGTCAGAGAGCTCTGATGCCACAATAAAATACAGTTCCCATGATTCCCTAACCCTAACCCTAAAAGTTGACTCAATTTGCACTATTTCTGGCAGTCTGCAACCCCCCTATGTTCTTCGTATATATTTAGGTCTAATTATTCAATAAAAATAATATTTTTAAAATTTATGAGGCGGAATTGAGAAGTATGGTGGGAATTGGAAATATGGTGGGGGGAAATTTTGCCCCCCATCCCTTCAAATATTTCAACATGCCTATCGTGTCCCCTCTTAACATTCACTTCTCCAGGCTAAACATATTATCCCGGAAAGCAGCCAAATGCTGATAGCCACAGTTTAAGCAATAAACAAAGAAACTGATCATGGAGCTTGTGAAGTTTCAAACAAAGCAAAGTGCCGTACCAAGAGTTTGCAATAACAAGCCAAGAGGTCAAACCGAGAGCATAGTCAAGCAGTCCAAGATCAAGGGTTCCAGAGAAGCAAGATGATCAGGCAGTCCAAGGCAGTCCAAGGTCAAGAGTTCCAAAGAGGCAAGATGATTAGGCAATCCGAGAGTCAAAGGTCCAAGCCAAGAAGACAAAGGAAGGAACAAATATGCTTTCACCAGCAAACTCAAATAGTCTCTGACAACCAATCTGGTGCCATTGCCATGTTTATATAATCAGCCCTCATTAGCTCAGCTGTTTTGAGATTAGCTGGCATTTCTCATAAAGCTTCCTCAAGCGTCAGAGACATGCCCTTTCAGCTCTTCTCTGGTTGAAGGTAAGTATGTTGGTGTCTTCCTCCTCCTCCATGTCTCCTGTGCCTGAAGGCTCTGCTGTCTGAAAGCCTGGCTGCTGAGTCTCCTCTAAGGCCACAGACTCTGCTGGAGTTCTTAGGGCAGAACTAGGGCCAAGCTCAGGTTCAAACTGAGGCTCCAATTCAACCTCCAAATCCTCCCCTGAGTCTTCAGCCAGGCTGGGCATGACATGTATCCAGCTCCCCAAGTTGCTCCTCATAGGACATGGTTTCCAGACCTTTCACCTAGCTTGTCAATGTTGGCATCTAAACTGCTGTAATAATCTGGTTTGAGCCTATTTTAACTGCCACGGCTCAGTGCTATGGAATTTTGGGAATGGTCATTTGTTGTGACACCAGAGCTCTGTTGAGCGTTGAGAAATGGTAGTTAATGTGGGCTCAAACCAGATTACTTCAGCAGTGTGGATGCAGTCAACATCCCTCTTGAACTGCGGTGCCCAGCCATTTTGTTCTTCCATGTTTCCTTCTTCCTCCACCATTACATCTTCATGTAATTGTTCTCCTACTTCTCTTCAGCAAGGACTTATTTCATAGGCCACATAGCTCGATTCAGTTCCTAAGACAATAACTGTGACTATGCCATTGCCCATCAAAATACCTGGCAATTTTAATTGTTCCCACACTCACGATGAATCATTACATTTGTGGTACTGCATTCAAGGACACCAAATAAGTAAAGGTGTTGCTATTGATTTCTACAGCAATGATGTATCTGTCAGTAAGGTTGAATCACTTTTAATTATTTAAAAAAGGCTAAGTTATTGTACACTTGAAGTACAAAGATTCAGGATGAAACATGTGATATACATACATACCTCCCTAAATAAAACAATTAGCAAAGAAGCTCCTTTTTCAAAAGTCTTTTATGCCCACCCATTCCCCTCCATTCCTCCTTGTCCTTCGTCTAGCTGACATTGCATTGGCAATGGGAAGATGGTGAAGTATATCTGGAGAGACACAGCTGCTGCTGCTGCATTGCAGAATTCCATCCTATGGAATCCTGGGATTTGTAGTATGTTCTGGCAAACTACTTTCTGACAGAAAAAGCTAAATATCTCACAAAACTACAAATATCAGAATCCCATATCATTGAGCCATGGCAATCACTGCATTGATTCTGCAGTGTAGATGCAGCCACAGTCTTTAAATGTCAAGTTACAGCAGTGTGCATGCAGCAAACAATGGAACAGAAGTTTCAGATGGGGAAAATGGGATTCTTCTCTAGCTGATACTACTGTAGCAGAATATGCCTGTTTATGCCAGGTAAGGTTAACAGCAGCTGTCTCCAGAACCCCTTACTGAGCATGTGTAAACAACAAAACAAGAGAGAAAAATGGAAAACCGATAAGCTTTCTGATTTGCTACCTCCAGCACGCTAAACAGGCACAGATTTGTAAGTTTAGCCACCAAAATGGAAATAGTAAGAAAAGTGGAGGTAGTTTAAATTTAAAAAATCATCCCTATATGCATTTTGGAAGAGGCTTTCAAGTGATCTCTCCAAGTTTCTAAATATTTTTGCTTACTTGTACAAGGGCAGTCAGTATAGGCAAAGCTTACTGGACCTTGTTGTTTCATTTTATATGTGCCTAGTTTTGAATTAAAAGTGGACTGGGCATGATTAATTGCTCTTCTTTGTGTGTGTGTGTGTTGAAGGAACATATTCCACTCCTTTCCATGTTATTTTGGCCTCTGGTACAAAAAAAATTCTTAAAAAAGTAATACTCATGAACATACCTACTTTGTAAATGAAGCACACTTGTAGTTTGTGTATTCAAAATGAAAAGCATCTTGCAGAGGCTGCAGATCTTCTAGACTGGCAGATCCTCCAACTCTGCATCCAAGACACATCATCTGGCCAAACCACATCAGAATGTTATCAAGATGGCAAAAGTTATTAATGGGGGGGAGTTTAAAACACACAAGCCAGGAAAGGCTGCAGCTATTTGCTTTTACCTGAGTCTACAGGGAAGAGCAAGATTCTGCCCTTTCCTTTCCTCCCCACTGCTGGCTTAATATTTAGTGCAAACTACTTTTGCACCTTGAACTCATTTTGCAGCAAATGAAGTACACCAAGAATGCAGTGGGGGGTAATGGGGGTAAGAGAGAGAAACTGTAACATTTTAAAAGCATCTGAAAAAGTGGGACAACAAGAGGATTAATCTGGCTTGTCCCTGCTAAATCAGGACATTTGGAGGGTATGACTGAACATAATATAAGTGAGAATGCATTTAGAGGACTCAGTATTATTTACTCTTATCAAATGTAAGTGGTTGATACTAGCCCAAGCAATCAAACAGATTCAGACCAAAATAATGTAGCACTTTTGTATTTCATCAAGCTCTGTTCCACTTGCCATGGATAAAACACATTTTTGAAATGCTGTGTGATTATCTTGAATGGAGGTGGACACTGGAAGAGGTGGAGCAGGAGAGTTGTGCTTTAACTGTACCATTTCACATGAAACAGAGCAGGGGAACTTGCAGCAGCCAGTTTTACACTATGTGCTAGAGAACAAAAATAAAGAAGGCCACAGAATTGTGACTCAGAATAATCTCTAAGTAGTATTTGCATAGTATTTTTCATGTAAT